CATTGACCAAATAAAAATTTCAAAAACACAGTGATAAAGTTGCAAAAGAATAAGAAACCCAAAACTTACAGCTCCTGGGCGAGGCTTGGGCACCTCGCCATTAAACTGCACCCATTTAGTATGTGCCTGTTCCACAGTGGCACTCTGCATGTATTTGCCCCTTGAAAACACATCTTCCACACTAGATACACTGTATGCACACACAGCTGACATGCCAACATTGTTTCTGTAAAGAAAAAAAGATCTTTAGAGTGATTATAGTCATTAAAATTCAGCTTTTGATCTGGTTTTTCTGTATTTCTATTATTATAATAGAAATACAGAAAAATAGAATATAGGATTATGGCGATATAGTGGCAAATAACAGATTTCAACACAAACTGCATTCCTTGCAAAGGTTGTTTTCATTACCCTGGTTGTTCAATTAAACATACATAAAAACATAAATAGAGGAGGTAATATATAGGGATGCACTGAAATTTCCGCCGAAAATTGCACTATTGGCAAATTGCCGAAAGTGCCACGACAGACGGAAATTCAGTTAATCCCAGCTTCTCTCCTCCTCCTTTCGGCTGGGTGCCGGTCTATGTGCCTTCTGATGCAGCGCCGGTGACCAGCGGGAAGGAGAGAAGCTTTTACGATGGAAAGTAGCTGCGAGGTGACAGCTGTCATCGTTGCAGCAGGCTGAGCTCTCCTCCCTCATCACCCGGCTCAGCCCCCTGTGTCAGCACGAAGAGCGGTACGGGGCAGTGACAGCTGCGATCTGTTACAGGAGGTGGAGTTCTCCTACCACACCTCCCAGCTCCACCTCCTGTGTCAGAACGGAGAGCGGTCCGGGGCGCTGACAGCTGCGATCTGTCACAGGAGGCGGAGTTCACCTCCCAGCTTCACCTCCTGTGTCAGGACGGAGAGCGGTAATTGGAGGAGAGTGCTCTGATCTGTCACAGGAGGCGAAGTTCTCCTCCACCACTAAATGCCCCCTCCTGTTGACAGCCGATTCAGGATGGAGAGCAGGTATACAAACACTCAGTGGTTAGCTTAACGGTGAGTGTTTGTAAAATAACTGGACATAGTGTGCTTACTATGTCCCAGTTCTGATTGAATGGGAAGTGATCTTGATCACTTCCCATTCATTCATGATTGTGGACATAGTAAGCACACTATGTCCATAATCTATGAATGAACAGGAACACTCCATATAGAGGATTCCTGTTCATTGATAACAGGGGCTGCAGAAAAAGAGATCGGGGACTCTGTATTCTCAATCTCTTTTTCTATTTTAAAAAGGGAAATATCAGGGGTCTGTTTAGACTCCTAATATTTCCCTAGAGCCCCTAACAGTAAAGTAAAAAAATAAAAATGAAATAAATTAAAGAATTTAAAATGTTTTTAAAAGATTGAAAAAAAATTATTTTCAGTTTCGGCCTGACAAAATTTTTAGTTTCATCCCCATCCCATTTTGGTGCATCCCTAGTAATATTTAATGACATTAACGTAGATCTAAACCCACTAAAATCTCCTAAAAAATGTAACATTTTAATGCCATTTCAAAAGTTGTTTTCAATCTTTTAAAATGTACAACATTCAATAAAATCAAACCTGGTGAACATGCCAAGAAGGTCCTTGTTCAGGCACTTTCTGTTATAGGGGGGCAACTGTCTTCCAAATGTGTTCCTGTGTTATCACTCTGTCACATGTGCCCCTGGGGGAGTATACAAGTAACAGTAGTGACACAGATTGCCGAGCCATATTCTACCATTATCACTATGAGGAAGCTGTTCTAGACAGGAAATGGCTGACAAGGGTTGAGATACAACAAAGTATGAAAATTAGGTGTGAAGTATTTTTTGAAAAACTGCAATTTTCATGATACCCAATTCTTTAGATCTGTAAGATCTAGTTACATTACAAAATGGTCTGTGTTACAATGTTATAATAATTTTCAGCAAAAGTGGAGTTTTCCTTAAAAGCAAAGATACATGTCCTGTGCTCATATAAAATGTACTGATATTAAATCATACTTACAAATGGGATGTAAATACTCCATAGATGACTGGCTCCTGCAAATCTGGTGATTTGAGGATAAAAACATCATTGATGACATTAAAAATCATATTATTCTCCTGTGAGTGACATATGAGCCTGGCTTTAAGAAAGGTTGTCCATTTTTTTTGCAATGTTCTGAGACCACCTTGGTCACCCTGAAAACAGAGGTAAGGCAGTATATAATTTATATGATATAATAGGACATCACATAAAAGGTAATCAGCATGTTAAATACAAATTTGATTGTAATCAATGGTATTTGGGAAAAAAAATATATTTTTTGCTCCTTTTACAGTTAATCATTTATAGGTGCTTTCTGTGTAAACATGAACTCGGGTAGCTTCTAATTTTCATCATGGCATTCATTTTGTGCAGACGTTTGCAGCTAAAACCCCTACTGTTGCTGGTATCCTCATCTTCTGACTGGCCATCAATCTAAGCTTGGAGAATTGAAGTGTGTGTGTGTTGTAGTTTAAGCACCACACTCTCTCTCACTCGGTCCACAGCTTTGCCCACAAATCATATTGGAAAATGAGAGAAAGCAACCTTATTAATCTGGGTTCTATTGGCTCACACACCCAACTGAACCTTCAGTTTAAAATCAGCTAAATACATTCCAAGTGCATCAAAACAAAATGTTTACATTCGTTTCTTTTCTAAAACAGCCACAGCCTTAGTAGAAAAGCCTGCCCGCCGCCAGTAGCTGCAGAGTGGGACCCTTTCTCTGTGTGGGAAGAAGCAGTCTCATTCTACAGGTCCAACACACCCCATACTGGGCCTGACCTATAGTTCTGCAATCAGCAAAGCTCTTGCTAACTGCTAACTGGAGAACTTTAATTCTGACTCAAGAGGCATGTCAGATCTCTGCAAAAAAAGTAAATTGTTCCCCCCGAGCGAGCAAGGGTTCCACTGTGCAGCATGCTGGCTAGGGACATGCTTTTCTACTCAGGCTGTGACTGCTTCAGAAGAAAAAGACTTTGCATGCATTATGTTTTAATGCACATGGAATGTATTTCTCTAATTTAAGCTGAAAGTTCAATTAGACTTTAAGGTAAATGAGTGGACTTTCTGATTTTAATAGCTGAAATGAGTTCTGGATAGTTTTAGTATTTCATGGATTAAAAAAGTGCTGCCTGGAGTTGCCTTTAACGTCATGATCCAAAATTTGCTCTATTATCATCATGCACTGAAAATATTTTCCTACAAAGTTTGCCCAGATCTCTAAAACAGAGATATGGAAGAGCGGAAATGGAAAAAACAGATATGCGGTATTTTCTAAACGAAAGAAAATTAGATTAAGAATTTTAAACCAATATGGACAACATCTACAGTTTATAAATAGAAAACCCTGCAATGTCTGCCCACTTTTAGACTAGTCTTACTACAAGAACCTGCACGGCTACATATGACCTACAGACAGGAGAGGCTGGGTGAATACAGCAGAATGATCAAATCACAGGCTATTCAAAGCATAGTAGTTAAAAGGAGAACTATGAGGTGAGCGATTTCCACTCATCCTTATAGTTCGAGCCGACGTGTCACATTGAAACTGTCACACGGTGGCTCTATAGATCGGGAAGTGAGCGAACACATACTGTCGCTTGCTTACTTCCCGATCATCTCCCTGCAGAGAGCAGTGACTGTCAGTCACGGCTCCCCACAGGGATCCCACCCTCCCCTCTCCGATCCTCCCACACTGATGGAGGAACGGACGAGGGAGGGGGTGGGCACAGCTGGCTCTGCCTCTAGATAGGCAGAGCCAGCTGTCAATCAGCCAGCTGGGTGGATCTCAACAGTATTGTCGGGAACCATCCTGGCTGCGGTGCACTCAGCATATAGTGGGGAAATAGCCCGCTATATACTAAGCTTTGGGTCACGGGAAGAGGTTAGTACATGTCCTCCCGTGACCATCCAGAGAACTATGGGGAAAAAAGGTTACCCCATAGTTCTCCTTTAAATAACTTAGTAGAACTGTGAATAACTGCCCACATGCAGTTCTGACTCCAATGTTCCATGTGAAATAGTCACAGTTGAACGATGTTAAAATGTTCATCTTTACTCATGAACGTAAGGGAAAAATATATGCAAAATATACTATGCAAAAGGGTACCTATCATTACAAAACTTGCTTTTACAGCTAGAATCCTTTCATCATTCACCTATTCATCTATATGCTTAGTCAGGAGATAATTGAAATTTGAAGTTGTTGGCTCAGGCTAGATGTCTCTGAGGGCCTCAGGTTGCCTTGGAAACCCCCAAGATTAGGTTCAGCATTTTTATCTGCAGAGCGCCAGCATTTCAAATGGAAGATTTTTAACTAAAGAGTAGCAAACTGCTTAAATGGTCTGCTTATCATCAACAAGGAAAATAGAAAACGTTGCATCTAACTTCATATATATTGGAAAAGATTACACAAGTCTGTGTATTAGATTGCCCTTCAATGACAGGGTCATAGTTATAAAGCATGTGACATTACATAGTTGGCTGACCAATCCCTATCAGTGGATAACAAAGCTTCTAACAAAGAAAGAGAGCCGATATGTTATTCTACCATGCACAGCAGGAAATGCTGTAAAATAAATCAACTGCCAGGGACACTCTGTAAAATGGTTCTCTCATCACCTTCTACCCATGGTTGGAACTGGGAAGGGTGCCTAAAAGAGAGGGGTAAACATTTTAACTCTAAAGTCTATTCAAAAACTTTTTTCTATAAAAGGGAATATGCCTCGAGAAAAAAAACTAAAAAAGGCACACTGCAAAAAAAAAAAAAAAAGACAATAATTTCCAGTCTGGTAGGCAGAGACTCTGACCTTCGCTCTCTTGGACAGTTATGGTACCTAAAGAATCTTCAGCATCCAACACTCTGGGTGTTAAATGCCTGGTCTTCCACTATGGTCCATCAGATGCCTGCTTTGTCACTACTGGGGCAGGTCTTTACCAGCATTATGGTGTAATTGGCACCCTGGTGGTCTCTACTTACAGGAATTTAAGCAGAAGCCATGAAGGTCATGGAAAGATTCAGAGTGGGGCAAATATCTTTTGTGGTGTCACACACAGCAGTAATGACTTTAAAGTTAACCTGATAGAACTGATAGAAATACAAAGGCTTCCATTGTTGACCATCGAAAAATTCTAGCTGCCTGACTTTTCGGGCTTTAATCCATAAAAAAAGGAGAACTTTAATTGTCTTTTTGGTTACAGAAGGACATTTACTAATGTCATCCTATCACCCAAAGTCAGCAGATAACAGACTACTGCCCACTATGTGATGATCACGCAGAGCTGTGCCGCAGCCAGGAAAGATACTGACAATAATGTATTCACTCTGCTGCCTGACTGACAGCTGGTTCCGCCTCTCCAGAGCCAGCTGTGCCCACCCCCTCTCCCCTGTCTGTCGCCAATGAGCTCTGGAAGTACGGAAGAGGGGAATCCCTGCAGGGAGCGGTCATTGACAGTCACTACTCTCTGCAGGTAGAAAACCGTGAGCTGGGCAATCAAAGATTTGTGATCACTCAATTCTCAAGCTATAGAGCCAGTATGTGATTTGCAGTGTCACACACCGGCTCTAAGTATTGGGAAGAGTGCATTTTACTCTCCCAATAGTTCTCCTTTAAAAGACACTGATTTGAAACTTGCATGTTTATTAGGAAATCACAGTAAAGTCAAAACTCCCGATTTGTTGACCTGTTCCAAGTCAGTGATATTAAAATCAGTGACGTCACATTGTAACAGGCAAGGAAATAGTCTTATCAGAAGCAGAGGTCAACAATGACAACTTTCATACATTTTCATTACAGGTTTAGCTGTATATTGTACATTTAGCTGTTACATTGTGAATCCGGTGGATACCTAAAAAATTAACAGGAGAGGAAGGAGAATAAGGCTATCAAACTATATCAAGTATGACTGCAGTTGAAGCTGGGGTGCTATACAAATTTCATGGGTATTACAATTACAAACCCCAGGAAAGCATACTAATTCCTATCCCTTTCCACTGTCATCAGGATAAGGACTGTGGAGTTGCCAGGGTCAAATCTGAATCTAGTAAAGAGATTTTTATTTTCACTTATAAAAATTATAATGCAAATTACACAATTACTGCAGTTTTCTGAGGCTATAACATAAACAAATTGGCAAGGTGGGCTAATAATAAAGCAACCTTTCATTCCATAACAAGCAATGCTAACATTAAACTCATTATATATGCAAGCGGAAGACACAAAGTAAATATATTCCCCTACTTTGAGTGCGCCTGCATCCTGTTAATAACAGCCATTAACATTTCTCAGAATACCGCCACGGGTGGAGTGATGCAATGTGAATTTAATCACTGTAATTAAGGCAAGATCTCAGCATTCTAACAATTGTTGAAGATGCTCTGGAAAGCTAATAAAATACATCACTGTACACAATGGATGCGGTCACCGACAAAGCACTGCAGCCCCTCTAGCAGCACATGATAGAAGTCGACAGCTGGGCTCATTTTTTAGTGTGAGTGATGACAGCTCAGTATGAATTTCCACCTGTCATCACCAGTTAAGACAAAACACAGCCCGTCAGTGGCATCCCATAACACTTATAGAAAATATGCCATGGGGCGCTCAAATACATTTTCAACATAGCCAAATTCCCAAATTGCAAATTAATGTTTATGGGGTGTCCGAGACATCTGCACCAGTATAATCATTATTTTTGTTTTGCTGATACCTTTGATGAAGTCTATCAGCAGCAGCAGACAGGCACCTAACCTGATGATCCCTGCTTATATTATGCTAAGAATGTAAATAGCTACACCTTTCTAATATTTTCCTTATTCATGTTTAGGAGGAAACAGACTTTAATGTTAAAATAAAAAATAAGTGTTTTTTTTTAAATAAATCGCATGAGTAATTATTACTGAATATGGTATTTCGTTTAAGGAAAAAAAATAAAACTATAATTTTACTATAATAGCAGCCAGACATATAATGGAAACTTAAATTAACAGAACCATTTTGCTTTCCAGTAGATTTTCATGTTTTAAACTGACAGAATTCACACCAAAAAAACCACTATTTGTTCTACAGTTAAGAAAACCTGTAACATCATGCTGTAAAGCAAAGCAATGGCAGAGATATTAGCAGGCACACTCCACTGGCACGTCAACCAGAGCCCACATGAATACCTAATGTGCCACTGGAGCCCCCTTTAAAACCCAAACACCTGTATAAGGCAGACAGGCACACTCCACTGGCACGTCAACCAGAGCCCACATGAATACCTAATGTGCCACTGGAGCCCCCTTTAAAACCCAAACACCTGTATAAGGCAGACAGGCACACTCCACTGGCACGTCAACCAGAGCCCACATGAATACCTAATGTGCCACTGGAGCCCCCTTTAAAACCCAAACACCTGTATAAGGCAGACAGGCACACTCCACTGGCACGTCAACCAGAGCCCACATGAATACCTAATGTGCCACTGGAGCCCCCTTTAAAACCCAAACACCTGTATAAGGCAGACAGGCACACTCCACTGGCACGTCAACCAGAGCCTACCTGCATACCTAATGTGCCACTGGAGCCCCCTTTAAAACCTAAACACTTGTATGCAGCAGAAAGGCACACTCCCTCGCCTATCTCAAAACCCATCACTCACTGCCTAAGAGGCCTATAGCACCCACAGCCACTGTCACAAAGGGTGGGCCTCTCCCTACACAAATCAATTTCCAGAAAGGCAGTAAATGCACACAGTCCTAGAAGGGGCTTCCAGGAGCTCCAGGGAAGCGGGCAAGCTCAATTAAAGGTACAAGGTGCAGCAGACAGGTTCACTTTAGGGATGAATTCTAGCTTTGACCATGATGTTTTCACACAATACAAAAGTACCAAAAAACTAAGGCTTGGTAATATATACATTGTTAAGGAAATTAGAGATAATGTATACATCTGGGTCCCACTTTTTATAAGTATCTATTCTTTCACTTTGATAAACCAGTCTAAGAAATATGCTATTTAAAGTCGTGACAAAGCTATTTCAAGTTGTTGGTCCATAAAAATAAAAAAAAGAATTGGAAATTCTTCTATAGCATGAAGAACCCATCACATCTGTATTGTTATTTTAAAGGGAAATTCTACCTTTAAAAAGAAATATATAAATGCACACTTCTTCATAGAAGAAAAAATGTGCATTTATTAGTTTTTTGCATAAGAGGCAATAATACATTGTAACTGTGATCAGTGTATCATGGGTGCATTGTTCAGGCTCTGCAGACTCTTCTGCTTATCTATGTCCGTACTGAGGTATAGGCATTCGGTATCATGGACAGGAGGAAGTGTCAATGGACTACAAGTCCCTCTGCCGTGGTGGCTGATGGGACTTGTACATGGATGTATGGGTGGAGCCATGCACAGCTGCACCAAAATTAAGCAGCAGCAGTGGGCAGGTTGCAATTTGACCATGTTTCATCTTATGCCCTAAATATACATGCACATGCCTCTTATCCTGAAACACTTGAATACGAATACAGTGATTTCCTCTAAGTTATAGGGAACATTCTAGCTATCATGATAAAACCCGAAAAAGGAATAGGTATCGTTTCTGAATTTAACTGGAATTCCAATAAAAACAGGTTATAAACTGGACAGTAACTTTACAGAAAATGTGGTTATGTGTCAAATCAATCATTTGTGCTTGCGTGTGGAGGAAAACATTATAGGAACTAGAAAAATGTGCAAGTAACTGGTTAACAGCACTGAGGACCGGAGATATGCACAAAATAGGACAAAAATAAGGCACATGGATTTATGAAACGAAACTTAATTATCTTTAATTATAAAACCTTTGTGAAATGGGTTTTAGTGTGGATCTTTTCCTTAATCCTTCTTAAACACTTAGCTTTGGCCTTGCCAGGGGCGTATAAATAACTCTGACACAAATAGCTCTGCTATTACAAGTACAGTAGCTGAGCTGCAAAGGCTTGTACATAGAAATGAGAGAAATGAAAAAACAAACAGTGCATGCATGATTTTTTACGATCGCATGGCCCTGGAACGTAGGGCATTTTGTTACCACGCGTTCCTGAGCGGCCAATCGCACTGCAGGCGGGGAGCGTGTCTGCAGTGCCATTGATGCCCCAGAACACAAGGAGACTTTATGTATCCGATCCCATGCATTCCGGGCACGGGACACTGTGGCAGACGCGCGGGCTGGTGGAAAAAAGCCCTTACACAGAAAGATTATAAGAAAAGGAAAGGTGTACCCTAATAACTGAAATCTGGTCAGCAAGTACAGTATATTTTATACCATTAAAGAAATGTATTTAAAAGAGAACTACGGGGTGAGTGTTTTTCCCCATAGGGTAACCTCCTCCCGTGACCCAAAGCTCAGAAGCCCGCGATATACTGAGAGCCCCGCAGCCGGGACGGATCCCGACAATACGGTCAAGATCCACCTAGCGGCGTGAGTGACAGCTGGCACTGCCTATCTAGAAGCAGAGCCAGCTGTGCCCGCCTCCTCCCCCGTTCGTTCCTCCACTCAGCGCTGGAGAATCGGAAAGGGGAGGGGGGAATCCCTGCAGGGAGCGGTGACTGTCACAGATCTCTGCAGGGAGATGATCGAGAAGTGAGCGAGCGACGGTATGTGTTCGCTCACTTACCGATCAATAGAGCCGACCTGTGACAGCTTCTTTGTCACAGGTTGGCTCTAACTATGAGGATGAGTGGAAATCACTCACCTCATAGTTCTCCTTTAAGCTTGATGCAAAAAAGCTTGTTAAGGGCTCATGCACATGGTAATAAATGGTTGTATCGTATACAATGTGTCCATATATATTGCAAATCCGAGCGGCTACATACGTACAGGGCTGTATGCATCTCCCACAATAAGCTGTCCAATGCTTTGTCCACTCATGCCATGTCATACTGATGGCAGAATAAGTAACTGTCATCAAACAGGATGCTGTTTCCCAATGTCAACACCTTCTCTACATTCCTCCAGGCATTCATCCAAAGGATGTTACCCAACCAGTGAAGCCGTATATGCAATGGAGCAAAGAAACATAATTAGGGGGATGTTTCTCCAACCACTGAGGTACCACAAAAATCACTGTTAGGGTGGATGGGTTAAGCAATTATTAAAACACAACAATGAGAATCAAACAGATGAGCAAAGATAAATCATTGAAGAACTTTGTAATGCAGAATGATTGTTAACCCACCTTGCATACTCTGGCTATTCTGGGAATTAGAAGCTTGTTAAAAAATTCATATTCCACAGAAACTTCAGTGAAGAAGAAATATACTTTGTCATCATCTCCATCTGGGTTATTGGAAGGTGCCCTGATCACATCTGAATGCACAAATCTGGGCTCTAAAAACAAGGAAGGAAATGCACTCAATACTCGATGGATTCAGAACATCACTTTTTCTGTCTTTTTCTAATAAAGGCCAAATGTGCCAAAATATACATAACCTATACCAGGGATTACAGAACTTGTACACAGTACATCAAAGTTACTGACTGGAATAAGCACAGTTAAATGAATACTGCATAGGTGACTTGGAGGGCAATCAAGTGGTCTTGAAACCTCTGTTTGAATGTTGGTGCTAAATAATGCATTACACATGTAATGTATATTATATTATATGAACGGTGTGTGAATTCTCAGGATGGCTGTGAAAAAGAGGGCTGTTTCCAGGAAATATCACAGGAACAGCATTATTTTAGTGTTTCTATTGGGTAATTATACTGTTTCACTGTTGGCACCCTAAGGAACAGATTATAAGGCATTTGCAATTGAAGGGACACTAAACTCAGGAGTTAAATCTTAAAAATGTATTCAAATAACAAAAATGTATCTTATTTGTGTATTACTCAGCTGTAGATCCTCAAATCATCCCTGAATTCATGCTGACGCTGTCCTTCCTTCTGGAGGGTGGCTACTTTTGTTCCCCATGGTTCCTGTGTGTGTTGTAAAGTAGTCACCGCTACAAGCGCTCTCCTGTGATAGACTACAGTCTCATGTTTAGTTTACTAATTTGTATTGAGATTGTAGTCCATCAGGGAAGTGAGCTTGAAGTGGTGACTACTTTGCAACACCCACAAGGACCACGGGAAACAAAAGTAGCCACCCTCCAGAAGGAAGGACAGCGTCAGCATGAGATGTTTTAAGTGATACACAAATAAGACTACATTTTTGTTACTTGAATGCATTTTTAAGATTTAACTCCTGAGTTTAGCGTCACTTTAATGCTTAAACGGAACCTCAAAGTGCTGACACTTCTGTTCTGAGAGAGATTATATGTAAATAAAAGTACAGATGAGAGAGAGGAAATTCAGATCATTAATAAAGCCCACTGGTGACTAGGTTTTCTTTAAAATATATGCAACACCTACAATTTTGTTTTTTTGTGTGTTTTAGACAGGTAGGGAAGGGTTTTATTTTTCCTGCCTGTGTCATTCTGAGATTTCGCGTCACTTCCTGTCCTAAAGATGCAACAAGACATGACAGGAAATCTCTACAAAGTGAACAGAATTCCCGTCTCAGACAGGTGTCACAGGAACAAGTATTACTATTGCAGAATTTGTTCCTCACCTTCTGCTGCGGTGAAGCTGCTAAAATATTGGCGTTCCCATGACTTTCTCTCTCTTGTGCCTATATACAGAATTTGATGTAACATTTTCTATGATATTCAGGGCCTAGACTCAAGCAAAATGCTTTCTCTCTCCTGCCTTAAAACATCTTTAAGTTTGTGATCATGATGGTATTGTGGTAATGGAGTGTGCTTTGTGTCACAGAAACCCCATTGCGAACCCCCCTGCTTTATTCATATTAACCAAATTCACACGAATTGGCATGAACAGTGCACCTGCAAGCTGTCTTACTTGCAAACGTTTAACTCATTTTAGCCGTTTTTGTTGTGGGATTATGTTCAGTTAAATCTGGCATGAAAGAATGTTTTTGTTCTAGTTGAAATCAGGCACACAGATGTATGGCAGCAACTCTTGCCTTCTTTTAAAGCCCAACTCCAGGCACAATAATCTTACTGGAGAGTTGTAAGATGTACGGTGTAGTTTATTTTCTAAAAACCCACCTGCCATATCCAGTACTAGCTTTCCACAAACTAGCAGTTATGCATGCGGGTGGAAGCCCAGCTCCCATGGAACTTTCATTTAAGCTCTGGCTGTAATTCTGCGGGTTTAATAGACATCAGCGCTGTGGTTGCTTCTCCGTCCCCCCCTCTCCTCCTGGCCAATCACAAAGCAAACAGCCTCATGCTCCTTTTTGTAAAATGGGATGGGGACGGAGATGTGATCAGAATGCTGTGGTCTGAGACTTGCAACGCTACAGCCGGAACGGGCACAGAAGTTTAGCGGGAGCTGGACTTTCATCTGCATGCATAGATGATGATTTGCAGGTACTGAATATAGCAGGAGGGTTTTAAGAAAAGGCACTGCACTCAAGACCATTAAGCCCGGAGTTGAGCTTTTTTTGCTATTCCTATGTACCCCAAAGAACAGCGAATCAGACTAAAATCTTACCTAACCAGGTCAGTTGTCAACTGCCATATTGGAACAATTACCCTCACAAACTCAGGCATGGAAGATGATATTTAGCCTTTCAACAATATCTGTTTATCACTACTTGTGACCTTGTATAGTATGTATTCAATATTTATTTTGCAAGCAAACATTTAATATGTGACAAAGAAATCCTGGAGCATTATAGGTCTAAAGAAACATTAAAGCTATAGCAGTGGTCAGCAGTTCTTCTGCTAACCTCCACTTACTACAGTAGTGAAATGGTGGTCAGCAGAAGTAACCAGTGAGCGGTGCATGGGACTGAGGAGATTGCCAACCTGAGATTGTTCTCGGAAGAATATTGCAGCAGTGGATTCTTTTGTTTTGGAGCAGTATTCAGTGGTGTAACAGCAGGAAAGGTTGCAGGTATGCGATTATTAAAAGATACACTTCAAATAAGTACCAGAGTCACTTAAAATTAGCATAATTTTTACATTTAAGAACGTAAATAGTTATGGGACATTTCAGCAACTTACCATTAAGCCAAGGTACAGCATACTCTGTTCTAAGCAGACCTTGCTGGGAGTGTCTGCATATGATTGGCTCGCTGCCCAGAAAGGTAAAAGAGGTGCCAGAATAGAGTTCGCCATCTTTTGTGAGAAAAAATAAAAAGGATTTATGCACCGAAAACTTTAAAACATAAGCAATTTCCCAGTATGACATACACAGACGTGTGAATGTGGCCTAAGCTTTACAGACAAAAGATGACTGGTAAAAATTAGGCCAAAGTTCGGTATTACTGAAATGGTTATGTATATTGTATGCGTTTCGTAAGATGCTACATTATGAAAAGTGTCAGGTTGGTCCAACCTGCACTAATCCAAGCACTAAATTTCTGGTTAGCCCTTCTCAATGCCTTACTACAATTAAACATCAGACCCACAGAGGCTTACATTTTGTAGAGGTGAATTCATAACAGATTTACATTTGATTACATGAAGGCTATTTTTCTTAAATTGATGATGATTGCCACAACATTCAGTGGTGAAGAGTGGTACAGTGAATAAAAACTAATGGGCACTTAACTGAAAAATACAGCTCTGGTAATCATTCTAATGCCATAACAGTTGAATAAATCAACCATGTATTCAACAAGATAATTTTGTGTTTGATAATCGATCACCTCATTTGTAGAATTTGAATCAGCAATCTCTAACGCACATTAGCTTACTTAGCCTCATTTATTCCGGTGTTTTGTCTAGTCGGGTTCAAGGGACAAAGATCATCATGTAATCATTGACTTACCAACCATCACTGAAGTGTAACTCTGCGCAGGATCAAAAGGACATCTTCCTTTACCATCTTCATTTTTGCCTGCCAGCGTAAAACTACTGACATCCTGCAATAACAAAGGTAAACAAAGATGTTTGGTGTGACATACCTGCAATGATAACATCTCGGATCTCATTCTATTGTTTGACAGCTATACTGGGCCGGTATGATCAACTCAGCAGTACAATACTAAAGAACAAAGCTAGCACCTTCTTCTCTGTACTGTTAATCCTCTCCAACCCAGTTTGCATATTATACTCAATAGCATGCAAACTAACACAAACACATTAAAAAAGTACCATAGCAGAACTAACCAAAGTATCACAGGAGGGATGAAATGCATTGGTTCCACACACAAATAGAGTGTTTTCATTGAGGGTCTGCAGCACTCTAATGTAGTTTAGGCATTCTGTCTGTAATAAAGGAAAAGAACGTGCAAAGTGTTATTAAAGAAATGAGCAACATGTTTATGCCTTTACACAATGAAATTGGCATTAAAAGAACCAAGTGCTTGTGAACATACACTGGGATATACAAATTATAATTATTACAAGTATTTATATAGCACCGACAATTTACACAGCGCTTTACATCAGTCCCTGCCCTCAAGGATCTTACAATCTAAAGTCCCTATCCCACATGCATACAGGGCCATTTTAAGATATGAGCTCAATTACCTTCCAGCATGTGTTTGGAGTGTGGGAGGAAACGGAAGTATTCGGAGGTAACCCATGCGAGCACAGGGTCAGGAGAACATGCAAACTCCTTGTGGATAGTGTCCTGACCGGGATTCAAATCATTCACAGATGCACAATTTCAAAATGCAAGCAAAAAAGCGCACATGAAATATAAAAATGAAATATGGCTTTAGGCAAAGTTTAGAGAGCAAACCATTCCAGAGGGAAACATGGATGATATTTAATTATGAAAATGATAACTGCCTAGCTGTCATGTTGACTCTCTTCAATAAGTTGTTAGCAGAGTATGCAATAAGTATACAAATTAAGGCTTCGGAGTTTGCTCCAACGTTCCTGATATGTATACTTGTTCCTGGTCAATAACCCAGAGTAACCCAAGTAATGAAGCCAGAGGGTCAGCATAATAACCATCATTTCAAAAGCACATTTCCCCTTTAGGAAAGGTTTATTTACTAGACCTTATTTATCAAAATAGATCATGTAAAGACTCTGCATAGTACAACAGAGCTACCCAAACTTGCCCTGAAAAGCAACATTGTAGAAATTTACATCTAAAAGATTTGATGTGGGAAAAACACTTTTCTGAGTTGGCAATTGTTAATAAATAAAGCACACTTTCTTGTTAAATCACCAAACTATATACTGTATCACAGCAGTACTCCAGCTGGTGTGAAGGGCTTGCCTACCCCTGCTGTATCTGATACCAAAGGCATTTGGTCCCACAAGGTCCTTTTAACAGGTATAATCCCAGTAGTAGAGGAGGACATCACCGTCATTTATAGGGAAGGGAAATCATCTACATTTGTGATAGCAATAATGAAAAATACCTGACCACTGTATGGTAAATATAGATCCTAAAAACAAAGGTTTCTACATGTTCATTCTAGTAACACCAGAAAATCAAACCTTAAGAGGATCATAGAAATTGGAAATACTACAAACACTTCTAGTCAATTATAAATAATGAACCTCAAAGTCAAATACTTAAGTACCTGTCTGGATTTGCCTTTCCGTACGCACTCTTTGCTCTTCTCATCTGTGGCTTTCCAGTAAGCCTGGAATGAAAAGGTTAATATTATTCAATCCGATTTTGCAAACTATTGGAACCTGCAATAGCCATGTGAAATATATGTATATACAAACATAACCTATGTACAAAAATCCTTTAACCATGTACAGTCATGGACTAGGTGATACTCTTTCATTTTATGGAAGAGTTTCTCAACTCCAGTCCTTCAGCAGCACCAATGGTCATGGTCTACAACTTTACTGTCAGGGAAAAAATAGTAGTGGTACGTACAGATCCAGTGAAAACAGTTTTTAAATCATCTGGGCAAGATTAGAAAATCCTGCAAAGTGATATGCTGGGAGCATATACCAATGAAGTGGAAATACAAAATGTTAATTATGACAATTACATCCAGTGAACCTGGATAGTGGTAAGTCATTTGAAAAATATTGTAACCCACACCTAGGTTATTACTACACTGTAGCTTATCACTAGACCAGAGTTTAAATAAATTTTTTATTTGAAGATTTAAATACCTGTTACCATTTAATTCACTCAAAAAATGACATGTATTTTTACATTAAGCCACTATAAGTATCGCAATTTGTCTTTATATTAGCTTTCTGTAAGCCAACAAGACCATTCACATGTATGTATGCCAGGTATATTTAGCTATCTGCCTGTACAGCATCTCATAAATTATACATTTAGAACATGTCTAAATAATTCATGTAAAATGTCTGCTTATCTTTTTTAATAGTCATTTGTAAAACCAGCACCAGTATGTGTTGTTTCCTTTCAGGTTTTTTTTTTGCTGACGCCAACACATTGAATGAAATCACACTTTTTGTCCTATACGGGGATTAGTATTAGGAGAGATACCATCTTTATTACAACTTTAATCAGTACATTCTACTTAGCAGATACAAACAAAACCCACTGGAAATGTGCTCCAAAAAAGATACAATTTAAAACTCTCTCTGCAATATCGGCCAATGCAAAGAAAAAAAAACAAAAAAAAAACTATTGTACACAACAACAAAAATGACCCACCTCATGTTTCTTCTCTGAAATCTTCAGCGAATTTACTGCAAAAATGGCTTCCCGTGCTCCAATATACAAAACATCCTTGTCTTCACTCAGCAACAATGTAGAGTAATTGTAAACGCCTTGCTCCTGGAAATGCGTTAAACTAACTTCTGCAAAAAAAAAAGTATTTGCATAAATTGTGTAAAATACCAGATTATATAAACTAACCACATATGCATTTAGATTTCTCTAGCATACATAGCTGCTACAACATATGCAATACTGTGAACTGCTATGAAAAAAGATTGCAGTACATTCACAATCAAGTCATTCTCTTAAAACGCTTTGGCCCTTTTTAGATGGACGGTCCGGACCAATCAGGTCCGTCTATCAGTTTTTCAGGAGGATCTATTTCGAAGCCCAAATCTAGTCTATGGGCAGCTGGATCTCAAAGGACGTGCATCCCTTTAAATCCGATTACCTCCGGCTCTGGCCAGGTCTGAAAAACAAAACGGACCAAAGTTCTGCTTTGGTGGACCTGACCTGAGCTCAGCTAACATAATGCTGCAATTAAACACAGTGCAGTTCTTGACACACACAGTTAGACACCTTTTGGGATGCATAAGTAGTTCGCCATCAGGTTTGTCAGGATTCGCTCTGCCCCTAGAACAAGGAAATTACATTTGCAATGGTTTTTTAGAAACCCGGATTTCATTATTTCCTCAAAATCAAAAGGCAAGAATCTTTCTAATAAGAAAAACATTTTTATAGAGTTGTTCATTTTGCACTTAATTTTTTTTTTTTTTAAACGTGTTTAATTCAATTTTGCACATATACATTGAAAGTCTGCGTATGAACAGTTAAAAGCCGTAACAACTGCTATGGAAACAAGGAAATATATGGGTGAAAAAAGACTATGCAGAGCACTAGAAACACAAGAGCAACTCAACATAGCAATAGTGAGAGGTGGGGGGGGGGG